GAGCAGCAATGAATGAAACATGACGGAGAAGTAGAGTTGAGAGGTAGAAAAAGACTATATTTCATGGCCTCCGGAAGACTTACTCTTCTGGTTCTTATCCCTTCCTGAAACTGACTCCATTCTTGCCTTCAGATCCATGAGGCACTTCAATATATTTAAAATAAGTTTGTTTTGTTTGCTTTTTTGCTTAAAGTAGCTAAAGTTCGTTTGTTACTTAAAAAGCTTGCTTATCATACAATTATATAATTGCTTAGTACTTATTATCAAGGATAATATTTAATATTCTTATAAGGCTTTCAAGTACATTTATATCATGTCTAGAAGTTTTATGTTTAGAAATGTTAAGTAAATTTTTGGATTTGTGTATTGCAAATTCAAATCTGCATTTAAAATGTATATATTCTATTTATATTATAACTTCCATATAATATCCAATTTAATTAAGAAATCTCTAAATCTCTCAACCAATCTCTAGCTGTGCCATTAAAATACAATTTTATTATTAGGCATGAAGAAAAAAGTTGTTTAAATATTTTGTATTTATAATAGATTCGATTTTTACTTTGGTAATTTAGAAATTTATAAGAAATTTATTTTATTCCCAGTTCCTGACACAGAGCTTCTAAAACCCTTGGAATTTATTGAATGATAGGAATATCTCTTGTTATTTATTTCTTTATTTTTTTTTCCTTCACCCATATCTAACCACCACATTTTGTTATTCATTATGAGCCTTTTTCAAACACTCCTAAGTTTATGGTAATAAGGTAACTTAGGGTGGGGCCTCTAGATAACTTAGGGAAGGGATGAGGGTACGTAGGGTTGGTCACCAAAAAGAGTAGAGAGTGGTGTCATAGACTGAATTGTGTCCCTCTAAAATTCCTGTGTTGACCCCCTACCTCCCACTGTGACAGTACTTAAGATATAGGGCCTTTAGGAAGTTAAAGTTGTTAGGTAGATAGTGAGGGATTCTGTGTCTCCTAGGGACGAAAGTGGGCACTTTGCCTTGGTGCAGTTGCCCCACCCTAATCCTCTCCATACCTAGGGGAGGAAGAAATACCCTATGCATCGAATCTGCCAATCATATATAACTTAGTAGGCCAGCTACAAAAGAATGCAGAGGACTCTCTAGCCCACGAGCCAAGTGGCACAGATACCATAGAGTCCAGAAGTTGACCTAGAACAACCCCCATGAGTAGTAATGCAACTCCCAACTGGCCAATCAAAGTGGTTCCATGGTGACCTCTGAACCACAAGGGAGGTCCCAATCCGGGCACTAGAAAGCAGGATGCAGACTGTAATCAAGTCTCTCTTAGCCCTTCCTTTGGCCCTCCCTTTGGTGCAACAATGGGTCCGGTCATCATCTGTGGCATATATATCATGTTTTGTAAACTGTATCTTGCCCTTGCCCTATAATTCTCTTTCCTCAGTAAACCTCATTTTCGTGTTTGCCTTACTTTGGTGCATCTGGTTATTCTTTGGTTGTGAATGTGTCAAAAACTGACATTTTCGAACTGAAACCTGACAGAGTCACAGGGGTAAGGCCCTAATCCAATAAGACTTATAAGAAGAGAAAGAGATATTAAAGCTCCTCCCACCCCAACTCTTCATACATGCAGAGGACATGCGAGGACACAGCAAGTAGGTAGTAGTCTACAAGCCAGGAAGAGACCTCTCCAGAAACCAACCTTAATGGCACTTTTTTTTTTTTTTTGAGACAGTCTTGCTCTGTTGCCCAGGCTATAGTGCTGTGGCATCAGCCTAACTCATGGCAACCTCAAATTCCTAGATTCAAGCAATCCTACCTCAGCCTTCCAAGTAGGTGGGACTACAGGCTTGTGCTACAATGCCTGGCTTTTTTGATATTTTTAGTCACCCAGCTAATTTTTTATATTTATAGTAGATATGGGGGTCTCACTTTTGCTCAGGCTGGTCTCGAACTCCTGACCTCAAACTTTCCTTCTGCCTTGGCTTCCCAGAGTGCTAGGACTACAGACGTGAGCTGCCCCACCCCACCCCTGATGGCACCTTGAACGTCTAGCCTCCAGAACTGAGAGAAACTAAATTTCTGTTTAAGCCATCCAGTCTGCAGTGTATTTTTTTATGGCAGTTCTGGCAGACTAGTAGAGGTGAGAACTTTCAAGCTTTACCCCTGACCTCTAGAAAAGAGCGGGAGAATGGAGATCGAGCTCTATGAAAACTCTTGAATGAGATTCAGGGAGTTTCCAGGTTGGTGAACAGAGGTGCTGGGAAGGTGGTATGCTAGGAAAGGGCATGGAAGCTCTGTACCTCCCCCCTCTCTTTATACCTTGCCCAATGCATGTCTTCCATTGGCTGTGCTTGAGTTGTAGCTTTTAAAATAAACAGATACTAATTTGCAGTCCTACTAACAGTATGTAAGTGGTCCTTTCTCTCTACATCTGTGCCAGCATCTATTGTTTTTGGACTTTGAAATAAAAGCCATTCTAACAGGAGTAAGGTGATATCTCATTGTGGTTTTAATTTGCATTTCCCTGGTGATTTGTGATGTTGAGCATTTTTTCTTGTTTGTTGGCTATTTATCTTTTGAAAAATTTCTGTTCATGTCTTTTGCCTACTTTTTAATGGGGTTGTTAATTTTTTCTTGCTGATTTGAGTTGTCTATAGAATCTAGTTATCAGCATTTTATTAGAATTGTAGATTGCAAATTTTCTCCTATTTTGTAGGTTGTCTATCTGCTCTGTTATTTCCTTAGCTGTGCAGAAGTTTTTTAATTTAATCAAGTCCCATTTTTAAAATTTTGTTGCTGCTGTGATTGCCATTGGGGTCTTAGTAATAAATTCTTTGCCTAGACCAATGTCTAGAAAGAGTTTTCCCCTATATTTTCTTCTAGACTTCTTATGGTTTGATACCTTACGTTAATATAACCCCTATGGAAAACAGTATGGAGATTTGTCAAAGAACTAAAAGTAGACCTACCATTCAATCTGGAAATCCCACTACTGGGTATCTACCCAAAGGAAAAGAAGTCATTTCATCAAAAAGACACCTGTACTCAAATGTTTATTGAAGCACAATTCATAATTGAAAAGTTGTGGAATCAACCCAAGTGTCCACCAATTCATGAATAAGATTAACAAAATATGGTATATGTATACCACGGAGTACTACTCAGCCATTAAAAAGGATGAATTAATGCCTTTTGTAGCAATTTGGAAGGAACTGAAAACCATTATCTGAAGTGAAGTATCTCAAGAATGGAAAAAATAAACACTACATGTGCTCTTTAATAAATTGGAACTAACCAATGGGCTTACAAGTACACAGAGGAAAGTAAAAGTCATTGCAAATCAAGTGGGGGTGGGGAGGCAAAAACCCCACCTAATGGGTACAGTGAACACTATTAAGGTGATGGGCACACTTACAGTTTTGACTCAAGCCATTTATCAAAAACATCTATAACTAAATAAACAGGTAAATATGCAGCTTGGGGACACAGGACTTGTGACTGGCCTCTGAAGTGAGGGCAGTCTTGTGGGATTGAGCCTAACACTGGGTAGTGTCAGAATAGAATTGAAGTGGAGGACACATATTTGATATCAGAGAAATAGAGAATCAGAAGTGATGTCTAAAAATACCCTATTTAGTATAACACATTTTAGCAGTATTTGATATTTAGAATTACAAGAAATATTAAATTCACATATTTTGGTTCCTATATTATTTTGTATTTATATTTTCCAAGGTCTCTAGTAATATAATTAAAATGGGTAGGTAACTTTATGCAATTCAGAATCAAAACATGACTCTTTTTAATCATGGTAAATATTAATATGTGAAGCACCAATCTGAGCAACAGTGAGACCCCGTCTCTACTAAAAATAGAAAGAAATTACTTGTACAACTAAAAATATATAGAAAATAATTAGCCATGCATGCTGGCACATGCCTCTAGACCCAGCTACTGGGAGGCTGAGGCAGAAGGATTGCTTGAGCCCAGGAGTTTGAGGTGGCTGTAAGCTAGGCTGATACCATGGCACTCTAGCCCAGACAATAGAGTGAGACTCTGTCTCAAAAAAAAAATAAATAAATAAATACATGAAGCATACACTATTACATGAAGTAATAGAACTTGGAAAGAATACAAAAAGATATGGTAATAAACACCAAAAAATTTTGTTTAAGTTCCTTTTCAAAATGTGTGCACATGAAATGAGGTTGTATACAATAGACCAAAGTCTAGTAGAGACCAACAGAGTCACGTAAAAGTAATTTAAGGCAAACTTTATTGATTTATTTTAAATAAGGCAAGTGAAATGTGGGCTCAGAATTAAATAAGATTTTCGAGAAGCTTCTTGTACTTGTATAATGGGTGAATACGAGTATCAAAAGTTTTACTGTTCCTGTATAAAACTGAAAGAAAATGCTTTCCAAGTTGCAGTAAAATGAACTCTAATAAAATAATGCCATTAAGTCCACACAGTCACTTATAAGTTGTTTGAGGGTGTACAAATCCTACAGTATTTTCTTAATGTAAATTTGGAACATTCTGAATATTTTATAAGCCTATTTTTCTGCCATTGGAAAAATGATGGAATTCCAAGGAATTTCTGCTACCTTTTTTTTTGTTTTTGAGACAGTCTCACTTTGTTACCCAGGCTAGAGGGAGTGCCATGGTGTCAGCCTAGCTTACAGCAGCCTCCAACTCCTGGGCTCAAGCAATCCTGCTGCCTCAGCCTCCAGAGTAGCTGGGACTACAGGCATGTGCCACCATGCCCGGCTAATTTTTTGTCTCTATATATATTAGTTGGCCAATTAATTTCTTTTTATTTATAGTAGAGACGGGGTCTCGCTCTTGCTCAGGTTGGTTTCGAACTCCTGAGCTCAAATGATCCGCCCGCCTAGGCCTCCCAGAGTGCTAGGATTGCTACTTTAATTTTAAGAGATCAAAACAACAAAACAAATGTATTTTTCTAGCTTAACGTAATTCATAATATAGTGGTACTAAGGACAACAAATAATTTCAATAAAACCAAATCTATTTCAGAAAAGGGAAATCATATAGAGTTAAACAAAGCACAAACTACTATTAGAATCAGTTGCTTCAGATCTAGTATAAGAGTACTCATTTTTATTTTCACTGGAAAAATGTTAAAGCCCTTTCTCTTTTCTGGTGCTTACACAGTGGGTCATGTTCTAGTTACTCAATGATGAATCATGTTTCTATAGCAATCTCTTTAATTTTTATACTTGCTGATGTGTTCACGGGCTATAATAAGCCTTTGAATTTGTGCAGTGCCTTCATAAATCTGCAAGAAAAATACAAGTGTAGGTTAAATATCTTCAGTACATGAATATCTTGATTTATTCAATATTCTGGACAGTAGTATAAGCTACATTATAATACTAAATTGAATCAAGCTATCTACAGGGTCTGTAGCCTATAGAGATCCTGAAACCTGACTTTGTGAAACTGTGAGACTAGGCAATTCTCTAAAGATTAGTTTATATTATTATAAAAAGTCATTTACCAAACTCGGGAGAAGAGTCTTCAAAACTCAAAGAAAAGGATATTTACATTTCAGAAAGCTTAGGAAAACTAAAGTTTAATGTTGCTAAAACACTTATCCAACTTTTCTGAACTATTCTTAACTAGTTGTCACCTTCAGTCATTTCCTATTCTTACTCTTAAATCTAAGAACAGTTGCTAAAGAAAAAAATGCTGGAAGGATTTCAGTAGTTATCCCTCCTTTCCATTCCAAACTTCTAACCCCTAGCCATCTTTTCAGATGGAAGAGAAAAATTAAATGATTGATAACAGTAATAATAATCACAGGCTCAGCCCGGAGCGGTGACTCACGCCTGTAATCCTAGCTGAGAGGCTGAGGCGGGCGGATTGCTCAAGGTCAGAAGTTCAAAACCAGCCTGAGCAAGAGTGAGACCCCATCTCTACTATAAATAGAAAGAAATTAACTGGCCAACTAATATACATAGAAAAAATTAGTCGGGCATGGTGGTGCATGCCTGTAGTCCCAGCTACTCAGGAGGCTGAGGCAGAAGGATTGCCTGAGCCCAGGAGTTTGAGGTTGCTGTGAGCTAGGCTGACGCCACGGCACTTACTCTAGCCTGGGCAACAAAGAGAGACTCTGTCTCAAAAATAAATAAATAAAATAAAATCACAGGCTCTAGGAGAGTGAGAATATCACCATATAAACTTGTGAGTTTAAATAAAACACAACTGGTCCTCAGTTTCTTCATGTCTAAATAGAGGGTTGGACTATGTCTAACATTCCTTCTCATGATAGCATTCTGATTTTACTTCGAGATTTCAAATGACTGGTTTTGTCAAATAATTTGCTGGGGTTGGGGGAATCAAAGGAAGAGATATCGAGGAACACAGGTTATAATTACTTAACCCACAAGTGGAGAACACACATATTTCTATCTTATTTACCAAATTACTCCAAAGTTTTTCTAACCACCAATTTAATTTAGAAGTCACACACACACACACACACACACACACACACACACACATATATCACTGTCTCCACATGTTGGTTTTTGACTCCAAGTAATGGTTTCAATTAATTCAAGAGTTATCAGGGAAGATTCAAAACAAAATAATTAATTTTAGACGACATGTATATTTTTTTGAGACAAAAGTGTGGGTTACAATTAGTTAGAATGTTAAAACTCAACGCAGCCTTAAACATACTATACGTGTCTGTATCATTTACTTAGTCAATTCTCTCTTAAGACCTACCCTTAATCAAAAATAACATTCTTCTTTCTACTAATTATGTCCAAAAACCAACTAACAGCCATCTATGATAGTCATTTATTATTGCTAGTAGCATAAAATCCCTAAATAATCAGAAATTTACTCTGTCATTTATGAATACTCTATGCCTTCACAAACCATAAAAATCATTTTTAACCTTACCTGATAGATCTTGGCATCCCTCATTAGTTTTTCTACCGGATATTCTGTATTAAATCCATTGCCTCCAAAAATCTGCACAGCATCAGTAGCTAACTGATTTGCAATATCTCCAGCAAACGCCTTTGCAATAGAAGCATAATAGGTATTTCGGCGACCAGAGTCAATCTCCCAGGCTGCTCTCTGGTAACTCAATCTAGCTAGTTCAACTTTCATTGCCATTTCAGCCAGCAAAAATGATATCCCTTGGTGCTAGAATTAAAAAGAAACAATTTAAGAATGTCTATTGATAAAACTTATAAGTTTTTTTCCTAGGGCATTTTGTTTTTTTAACTTTTTATGAACTAATTATAGGCTTACAACAAAGTTATACCTTGTTTCTTCTAATGTTAACATAAAACAACAGTATAGTGATCAAGGACAGGACATTAATATAGATACAATATTATCAACTAAATTATAGACCTTACTCAAATTTGGCCAAGTTTTCCACCAGTGTTCTTTTTCTGTTCCAGGATCACACACTAAATTTAGTTATTTCTTCTTAGTCTTGCCCAGGCTGATACAATAATTCCTCAATCTTTCCTTGTCTTTCATAACTTTGTACTTTTAAAGAATTTGGTTATTTTTTGTAAAAATTCCCTCAATTTCAGTTTGATATTCTTTGCTCATGACTGGAATGAAGTTATGCATTTTGGGCATGACCTCAAGCTATGTGCCCACCTCAGCCTCCCAGAGTGCTAGGATTACAGGCCTGAGCCACCACGCTGGCCTCAGCAGCTTTCTTTAGCTGCAGCAGGTTAAGCAAGACAAGGATAAGTAGCAGGCATAGCTATTTACTTACAGAGAGAAGTAATAACAATAATAAACACTGTAGTGAATGAGAGCTCTGATTAGAGTACCATTCTATACTATCCCTTAAAAAAAATACCAAAAAATTTAAAAAAAGCTCTGTTCTCTTATTATAATGGACCCAATCTATATATAAATCAGCTCCTTACAAAATAAGAATAAGAGGCAGAGAAATGGTAAAAATAGAATGAAAATAACTAAGTACAATGCAAAAGCTGGGGCTCGGTGTGGTGGCTCACGCCTGGAATCCTAGCACTCTGGGAATCCGAAGCAGGCAGATCATTTGAGCTCAGGAGTTCAAGACCAGCCTGAGCAAGAGCAAGACCCCATCTGTACCAAAAATAGAAAGAAATTATCTGGACAACTAAAAATATAGAAAAAAAATTAGCTGGGCACGGTAGCACATGCCTATAGTCCCAGCTACTTGGGAGGCTGACACAGGAGGATTACTTAAGCACAGGAGTTTGAGGTTGCTGTGAGCTAGGCTGACACCACGGCACTCACTCTAGCCTGGGCAACAGAGTAAGACTCTGTCTCAAAAAAACCACCACCAACAAAACTTGGTTATACTGAAATGACAAAATATCATGTATACTACAACACAGTTTCTTTTAGGAAGTAATAAATAAGTCCTAATGTGTTAACTTAATATTTTAATTTTATTTATTTATTTATTTTATTTTGTTTTTTGAGAGAGTCTTACTTTGTTGCCCAGGCTAGAGTCAGCCTAGCTCACAGCAACCTCAAACTTCTGGGCTCAAGCGATCCTTCTGCCTCAGCCTCCCAAGTAGCTGGGACTACAGGCATGTGCCACCATGCCCGGCCAACTTTTTCTATATATATTAGTTGGCCAATTAATTTCTTTCTATTTATAGTAGAGACGGGGTCTCGCTCTTGCTCAGGTTGGTTTCGAACTCCTGACCTTGAGCAATCCGCCCACCTCAGCCTCCCAGAGAGCTAGGATTCCAGGCGTGAGCCACCACGCCCGGCCTATTTTAATTTTAAATAAAAGAAAATAAAGCAGACTACATACACCGTCATGAAGAAGTCTGGAATGATATGGACAGAAAAACAATGTAGATGGGACTAATAAGCTTTATCACAAATAAATGTACACATAATATATACCTACCATTTTACCTCGCCTTTCACATTCATACATACACACCCACATATGAGAGTAACATACTTTACATTTCTTGTCTCCAAATTTATATGTGAAAACAGAAGAGTATGTGGTGATACATCATTGTATATTTCCTAATATCAGATATGAAATGGCTAAATAATTAAATGTGGATTCCAAGTATAAAGTGACCCTTCTTATTCATAATGCTATATACAGAGTACACAGACTCTGGCAGATTGGAGTTGCAAAGAACACACAGATCAGAGTGGAGGACACGTGGTATTATATCATTATACCTATTAATTAAAAATGCAGGCAGTCAGCATTTTGCAGAGTACTTAAGGGGGAAACAAATCTTCAGTAGAAATCAAATGATACAAGACTGTATTTTAAGTAATAAGCAAAGACTTCTATACCTATTAAGAAAAAATCTTCAGAACCCATAAGAAAGGGAACATAAAAGAAGATTCCATATTGAGTTGAAGAATAGCCACAATAAGTTATCATCAGATACTTGGTAAGGAGGACCTGGAAGATGATGGTAGATCTTATAGTATTTATAGTTGTTGCCTGTTTATAAATAAGCTGAAACAACTTTTAGTAAAATGTACATATTTAGTTCTTGCAACATGAATGAGCTAAAAAAGAAATACTTGATTTAAAAAAAAGAGAGAGAGCTTATAAGAAACAGAAACCTCCAAGTGCCTCCAGAAAGGAATTTAAGTCCTGATGGGAAGAGATGGACATGGAGAGGGAAAAAAAAAATCAGACTCAGATTTGGGTCCAATGGGATAAGGAGCTGGAGTTTTAACACACACACAGAGCCAAGTGGCATATACCCATAGTTCTAGCTTTCTGGGAGGCTGAAGCGGGAGGATCATTTGAGTCCAGAGTTCAAGACCAGCCTAGGCAACACAGTGAAACCCCTGTCTCTACAAAAAATAAAAAAAATTAACTGGGCATGGCAGGGCATGCCTGTAGTCCCCACTACTTGGGAGGCTGAGGCAGGAGAATCACTTGAACACATGAGTTTGAGGATGCAGTAAGCTGTGATGATACCACTGCACTCTACCTTGTGGCAAAAGAGTGAAATCTTATCTTAAAAAAAAAAAGTCATGGGAGGTAACATAGATTAGGAGCATTAAATAGAGTCCTGGATCTGTGACTTATAATCTGCGTGACCTTTTATAAATTATTTAATGTCCCTGAATGTCAGTTCCCTGATATTTAACAGAGATGATAACACTAGCCAAAAAAGGTTACTGAGAGAATTAGAAAATATATTTAGAATGTATAGCATAGTGTCATGTATACCAGTGACCAATAGTTAGTGGCAAAGTCTTAAAAAACTCTATTCTTGAAACCCATCTTGTTAAAACCACATTTTGTTCTTGCTACCAAAGTAGAAATACATTAGTTTGTACTTTAAAAATAATTTCTAAATATTTAGATGAAAACAAATATCTTTACATTGTTAACAAAGCAAGCATAGTATTAAAATTACCTCTATAAGTGGCTTTCCAAAAGTTTTCCTTTCCAGGGCATACTTGGTAGCTTCATCCAAAGCTCTCTGTGCTAAGCCAACAGCACCAGCTGCAACCTAGTATTTTAACATTTTATAAAGAGAAAGTTCATGTTGTATTTAAACACACAATATAAGGCTATATGCCTAAGATTCTAAATGAAGGATTACACAAAGAGAAGGTGACCTATAGCAACAAGTGAATGGGGGTGAGAAGACAGGCACTTAAATTTATATTAGTTATGAAGTAAAGGTAATAGGGGAGGCATTTATTAGACAAAGGATTATAGGCTAGAGAAATTTTAAACATTCCTTTTGTTTAAGAAGGAAAACCTTCCTGGGGAAATATTCTTAATGAGTGAAGAAGGAACAGGAAATGAGTACATATCAACAGGAATGATCAAATTAAGTGTGGATTGTCTCTGTAAATCTAGCAGCGACTATAGTAACTTTGCGCTTGCTAAAATAATTTCTATATAATGGGCAAGAAAGTTGAAGAATTCTAAAAAACAAAGCAACAGTTTTCTCCTCCACCCTTAATAAGCACAGCAATTTTAATAGATTTAAAAAGCAAAGCACCAAACATATAATATTAAAACTACTTATTTAATGTAATAAATAAAAGATCCTATAAAGATTATCAACTCATGTTACTTACTGGAGGTCTGGTTTTATCAAAAGCTCCCATTGCAATTTTGAAACCAGCTCCCTCACCAATTAAAACATTTTCTTTAGGCACTTTCACATCTTCAAAGACAATTCCTCTAGTATCTGAACATCGCTGGCCCATGTTTAATTCCTAACAAGAAAATTGGTATATTTTAAGGAACATATTTTGAGATAGCATCAATTTTTACTGTTAACTATTATTTTATGACTTTCTACAATTATTAGTATCTAAAACAGGATGTTAACAAACTATGGCCTGCAATACCTATTTGGTAAATATAGCCTTATTGGAATACAGTCACAACTATTTGTTTACATATCACCTATGGCTACTTTCTTGCTACAATGGCAGAACTGAGTAGTTGTGACAAAGATCATATGGCCCCCAAAGCCTAAAATATTTACAATTTTGATCTTTACAAAAAAAGTTTGCTAACCCTCTGATGTTTCACAAACTTTGAAACCAACATTAGCCTAAACATCTCTACAAGTATGTAATATCAAGAAAGTACTTTGGAGTGAGTCTGGGAAACAGGTTAACAATATTTTCTCATTATATCTGAGTGGCGGTCTAAGGCAGTGGTCTCCAACCTTTTTGGCACCAGGGACCAGTTTCATGGGAACAATTTTTCCACAGACTAGGGGGTGTGTGGGGGGATGGTTTCAAGCACATTATATTTATTGTGCAGTCAAACATCTCTGCCAGTGATAATCTGTATTTGCAGCTGCTCCCCAGCACTAGCGTCACCACCTCAGCTCCACCTCGGCCCATCAGGCATTACATTCTCATAAGAAGCACGCAACCTAGATCTCTCACATGAGCAGTTTACAGTAGGGTTCAAGCCCCTATGAGAGTCTAATGCCGCTGCTGATCTGACAGGAGTTGGAGTTATGCAGTGATGCCAGCAATGGGGAGTAGCTGTAAATACAGATGAAGCTTCGCTCACTTGCCCGCTTCATTCATCTCCTGCTGTGTGGCCTGGTTCCTAATAGGCCACAGACTGGTACTGGTACCAGTACCAGTCTGTGGCCCCAGGGGTTGGGTACTGCAGGTCTAAGGTACCAGAGTTTCTTAACTTATAAAAGCAAAGCAGACCTAGCGTGGTGGCTCACCCCTGTAATCCCAGCACTTTAGGAGGCTGAGGTGGGAGAACTGCTTGAGGCTAAGAGTTCAAGACCAGCCTGGGCAACACAGTGAGACCCTCTCTACAAAAACAATTTTACAAATTAGCCAAAAGTGGTGGCAGGTGCCTGTAGTACTAGCTACTTGGGAGACTGAGGCAGGAGTATTGCTGGAGTCCAGGAATTCCAAGTTGCAATGAGCTATATCACGCCACTGCACTCCAGCCTGGGCAACACAGGGAGACCTTGGCTCTAAAAAAATAAAAAAATAAAAATAAAGTAAATAAAGCTGCTATGAACATTTGTGTATAGGTCTTTGTTTTCATTTCTCTTGGGTAAAATACCTAGGAGTACTGGGTATGTGGTAAGTATATGTTTGACTTAATAAGAAATTGCTAAACTAGCTATATTCCCTCAACATTTTGTTCTAAAGATTTTCAAACCAATAGAAGAGTTGTAAGAGAAGTATAATAGATACTTATATGCCCTTTGCCTAGATTCACTGATTGTTAACATTTTGACACATTTGCTTTATTTTGTGTTCTTTGTGTGTGTGTGTGTGTGTGTGTGTATAACTATTAGCGTTATGCTGAATCATTTGAGAGAAAGCTGCAGACATTGTAACTCTAAGGAAAAAAACCTTTTATTTATTTATTTATTTATAGACAGAGTCTTGCTTTGTTGCCCAGGCTAAAGTGAGTGCCATGGCGTCAGCCTAGCTCACAGCAACCTCAAACTCCTGGGTCAAGTAATCCTGCTGCCTCAGCCTCCCGAGTAGCTGGGACTACAGGCATGTGCTACCATGCCCGGCTAATTTTTTCTCTCTATATTAGCTGGCCAATTAATTTCTTTCTATTTATAGTAGAGACGGGGTCTCGCTCTTGCTCAGGCTGGTTTCGAACTCCTGACCTCAAGCAATCTGCCTGCCTCGGCCTCCCAGAGTGCTAGGATTACAGGCGTGAACCACCTTGCCTGGCCTGAAAAAAAACTTTTTTGTTTTTTTAATTATTGAGTGCATATTATATGTTTGGCACTATTCTAGGTATTGGGGATACTATATGGCTGCAGCCTGGTATCTGTCGATGGCCTGGTAGGAAAACAGGGCTGAGCATCATCACCTGATTTCTGCTTGTATACCACCACCTCCTAACCCCAACCCCAGTGAAACACTATCTTCCATGAAACCAGTCCCTGGTACCAAAAAGGTTGAGGACTGCTGTTATGTGGATCACAGTATTTTCTCTTTGTATCTGAGAAGTGGTCTAAGATACTAGAGCTTATTAACTTATGAAGACAAAATAGGCCTAATGTGATAGCTCATGCGTGTAATAACAGCATTTTGGGAGGCTGAGGTGGGAGGATCACGATCATTTTAGCCCAGGAGTTATTAAAGCCAGCGAATTAAAAGATTAATTTATACCTTTATAAGCAAGGGCTATGGAAATATAAAGGTATAAATTAATCTTTTAATTCGCTGGCTTTAATAACTCCTGGGCTAAAATGATCGTGATCCTCCCACCTCAGCCTCCCAAAATGCTGTTATTACACGCATGAGCTATCACATTAGGCCTATTTTGTCTTCATAAGTTAATAAGCTCTAGTATCTTAGACCACTTCTCAGATACAAAGAGAAAATACTGTGATCCACATAACAGCAGTCCTCAACCTTTTTGGTACCAGGGACTGGTTTCATGGAAGATAGTGTTTCACTGGGGTTGGGGTTAGGAGGTGGTGGTGTACAAGCAGAAATCAGGTGATGATGCTCAGCCCTGTTTTCCTACCAGGCCATCGACAGATACCAGGCTGCAGCCATATAGTATCCCCAATACCTAGAATAGTGCCAAACATATAATATGCACTCAATAATTAAAAAAACAAAAACAAAAAACCCTCTCTAGTTCAATAAATATTTAAGGAAGAAAATTGTACAAAAAGAGAATGAGACTAGAAATAGCAAGATGAAATCAGGAGTGGGTTTACTACTGAAAAAAAGTGTCAGTGTTCTGTCCATTACACTTTCTACAGATTGGCCATACATTTGGCCCTGAATTTGTTAACAACAACCATCCCTAAGAAAAATTATGTCTTATACAAATAAAAAACAATTTCTTGAGAGAAGCACAACTATTCTTAGTACTTATATCTTGATATAATATCATCAGTTTAATTTCTGAAGCACCATCAACCTTTAATATCTATTCTCTAAAGAAAACACAACACAATATAGTATCAGAAACTGACTGGGCAAGTGCCTAGGAGACCTTAGTACTGATCTCAACTTGCTTTTATATTTGTGACCTTGGGTAAATCATTTCACTTGGATCTCAGTTTCAATGCTCAGTGAATAGACTGAAGTAAATAATATGTAGGATGTCTTCTCCCTTTAAAATTCTGTGACCTAAAAAATAAGTTACCCCTTTATACTATAGCAACATGCTTCCATTTTAAAGAGGCTTGGATAAAACAGAAAGATTCTGATGGATTTAAATAAAATGGGATTTTACAAACATACATGACTGGTTTAGAAATTTGCTTAACTTGATCAAAGTAGTTTTTCCAGTTCAGGCTCTGCCACCCTACTCTAATATTTGACCAGATTAATACATTCATATAACTTTCAGTAACTCTTAGTTAACTCTCAAAATTCTTCCTTTGCCCTAGATACAACACCATTTGGTCATTAATAGCCTTTTATTTTAAAAACCCATTTGGCAAAAAAGAGTTTTACAGTGTAAAATTGTGTCTCTTCCTATTCTCCGAGTTATAATCTTAAATCATGCATTGTTAGGTCTCATTAGGACTACTTTAATGACTTCATTTCTTTCCTCCTTTGATAATCAAGTTTTAAACTCTTTTCTCTTTAGCCTATTTGAAATGGTACATTATCTCCACATATGCAGATTACAACCCTTTCAAATATATTAAATTACCTTTTCTTATTTAAATAAAACTGTCTTGCCTTTCCACATTTAAGGCTCTTTGACATTCCCTTACACTGTTCTGAGGCATAGCCTTAGTGTTGTATGGCCTTGGGTAATCCATTTATGTCACATTGTTTTAATCCATAAAATGGGCATAATGCCACTTACCCTACCAAAAGGTTGCTGTGAGGATCCAATGGAAAAAAGGGTAGGAAAGTCCTTTGAAATATCTAAAACCCTTATTATCAGGCAGGCAATATAAATGATAGTTTGATTTCTAATACATTGTCCTTAACAACTGTTATTAGCATTTTCCATAGGTTGGCACCACAATGGCCACTCTTTCAAAATGACTTGAAATGAATATTCTTAAATCTTCAGCAACATATAGACTATTTGACCCTATGTCATCAAAATAGAGCTTTATTTTTATTCCACCTTAATACAAACAAAATGTTTTCATTAAGGGAAAGTGAAGTAATTTTGGAATTTGTAGGCAAAATAATATTAATATTTGAGGCCTTAATCACTGATATACACTTTACCTTTCTTCCAATCTGCACTCCAGGAGTATCTGCTTCCACAATAAATCCAGTAAAGGCTTTACTAGCAGAAGCATTAGGATCTGGATCAGAACGTGCCAATAAAAAATACCTAATATAGATAAACACATGAAAATGGTGATAATGATATCAGCAAAAAATACACGGTTATTGTTATCTCAGTTGATTTTCCCAATAAACCCAATTATTATCACCCCTATTTTATAAGTGAGTAAATGAAGAATCAGACGGGTTTGAAAACTTTCTCAAGTCACATACCAAGTATATGAAAGAGCTAGTATTTCAACCCAGGTCTACTTCTTAACTAATCCAGTAATTGCCCCCCAGTCCCACCCTTTATCCGTGGGATTTCACTTTGTTTCAGTTACTCGCAGTACAGTACAGTAAGTTATTTTGAGAGAGAGAGAGAACACATTTATATAACTTTTATTATAGTATACTGTTATTGTTCTATTTATTAGTTATTGTTCATTTCTTACTGGGCCTCGTTTATAAATTAAACTTTATCATAGGTATGCATATATAGGAAAAAACGTATATAAAAAGTCCAGTACTATCTGAGGTTTCAGGCATACACTAAGGGTCTTGGAACATGTATACCCCCAGGATAAGGGGGGACTACCATATGGTATTTAACGTTTTTTTAATAGTATGAGTTGTAAGTAAAAAATCCTTGTATAAAGATAATGTAGTATAACAAGACAGTATGTGCATGTTGAAATTGGTACTTTTTCTTCCCCAAAACTAATTTTATTCTTTAAGGGACAAGCTATTTTTAAAAGGAGAGCAAACAAGGCTGCCTGTAAAAAGGAAGAATAAGAGACAGACTCCTAAGTTCTGACTCATATTCCCTTTATGCAGCAAAGTCAGTATTTTTGGTATAACTGAGTTATTAAGAATATTTGCTGGTTTTTCCCTTTAGAAGGATTTTTCTCAGAAAGATTTGTAATGAAAAATAAGGAAAAAAAATGCAAAATATCCAAACATCATGTTCTATATACCTTGGTATAGGAATTTTTTTTAAAGGTACATTCTTCCTTAAACAACAAATTTATTTTCTATGCTTAAAACCAATATATTATCATTCACTCTATAGTTTTATTTAATAATAGCCACAAAATAATAAAAATTGTTTTCTAGTTTCATATATTACCTGATTTGTCTTACTACATGAAGAGTTGTAATCAGTTCTTAAAATTAAGAAAACTTCTAATTGCATTGTTAGATTCCTCTCAACTTGTTAAATCTTAATAGTTTCTTCACTTTTTTATTACTTCCTGATATTATGATGAATTGCTTAAAAGTAATGGTATAGTACTCCATAACACTGAAAATATTTAGGATATTAATAAGGGATTGATAGATATATTTAAAATAAATCACTTCCTGGTTGGCTCATTCCCAAAAATGATGCTTTACTTGCTAGAAAACTGTATTGTATAGTACACAAATATATGGAATCATAATTTCTGCAGATGAAGAGAGATAGGCCATTTAGTATATTATTCAAACAAAAAGTTTGAATTATCACAAAAAGTTTTTTTTTTTTTTTTTTAGACAGAGTCTCACTTTGTTGCCCAGGCTAGAGTGAGTGCCGTGGCATCAGCCTAGCTCACAGCAACCTCAAACTCCTGGGCTCAAGCAATCCTCCTGCCTCAGCCTCCCAAGCAGCTGGGATTACAGGCATGCGCCACCATGCTCGGCCAACTTTTTCTATATATATTAGTTGGCCAATTAATTTCTTTTTATTTATAGTACAGACGGGGTCTTGCTCAGGTTAGTTTTGAACTCCTGAGCTCAAACGATCTGCCTGCCTCGGCCTCCCAGAGAGCTAGGATTACAGGCGTGAGCCACCGCTCCTGGCCAAAAAGTTTTTCTAATAAGTCTCTCTATATATACTTGTAGTGATGGATAAATATATTATTTCCTATGATAACTTAACAGCACTATTGTTGGAAAGCTTGTCCTTAATGTGAACTAAATTCTACATTTTTCTAACTTTCACCCATTAATTCTAAACTCGATTATTGAAGTAAACATAAAAGCCTGCTCTTCTTTATGTGTAATATTATTTCAGAAATTTCAGAATTCTTCCAAAACCTAATTTTTTTGCTTTTCACATGTTTTATAGGCTCTTCCTAATGTAAGACATATACCTGCTTCTAGATTTATTCTCCTTTTTCAATACATGCCTTAAAATGTGTTGCCCAGAACTATTACCGTTTTGATGCTATACTTCTATTAGGCGACAGGGTATGGAGATAATAAGCCAGGTAGATGGAGTGCTAGCCTTCCTAATCAGATTCAACCAAAACAGGTATTTCATTTTATTTTACAAATTAGACTTCTGAGAGTTAATTTGAAGAAATAGTTCAGGAGCCTAAAAATAATTTTTGAAAATCACTGAACTAATCTCTTATGAACCTGCCATAAATGATCCTTAATTATAGTGGTTTAAAAATAAAAGGAAGAAGAGAGGGAAGATTCTGATAAAATAATTAAGAAGAAATATACAGAGATGTTTTAAACAACATACCAGTTAGCTTTTCCTCCATTGGTTATCCACATCTTCTGACCATTAATAATATACTCATCTCCTTTCTTTTCTGCTTTGGTCTTTATACCAGCTACATCAGAGCCTGCTCCAGGTTCTGTTACACAATAGGCCTTGAATATGCATAAACATTAAAAAATTAAATATTAATTAATAAATTTTGAATGTTAGGAATCAGGATTGTGTTTTATTTTTTAAACTAGTATTTTAAATATTTTTAAAATACCTAAAATTAGGATGTTCTTAGAAAATCAAATAAAGCACTCAAATGTAAAAACATTTAATATATAAATTAAAATTAGGCATAGGATACCAATAAACTATATCAAAAATTAAAATGTTAGATAACTTCAACTAGGCTTGGTGGCTCAAGCTTGTAATCCCAGTGCCAAAGGAGGCCAAGGTGGGAGGATTGCTTGAGGCCAGGATTTCAAGACCAGCCTGGGCATCATAATAAGACCTCATCTTTATAATAAATAATTAAAAATAAAATACTATTTAAAAAATGTTAGATATCTTTGAACAAGTTCATTAAATTCAATTTCACATGTCCTCAGTCACACAAACATTTATTGAGAATCTACTATGTACCAAACTAGATTGGTAGATGAGGAAACCAGGATTGAATGACATTATGTCCTAGAGATTTAACCATGTAATTGTGGAGATAAATAACTATATTTTAATTATATGTCTAGGTGAGAAATCACACACAAGCGGCATAAGAAAGCAGAGGAGATGATACTTAAATTAAGTCTCAAAAAGGAAAAGGGATTCTTTAGGAGGACAGAAAAAGAGGACAAATGGTGTATTCCAGGCAGAAGTAATAGCACATGCAATGATGCCGAGATAAGAAGCAGGGTTACCCAGTGTTTATAATGCTGAAAAAGTATCAGAGTTTCATAATATGTGAACTGTGTACATATAAAGGAATGGTAGGACATCATTCTGGAAACAAAGGAAGGAAATAGTTGACAAGAATCCTTTGTATCACACAAAGAATTTAAAATTTTATCTGGTAGAAAAAGGGGAGCCTCTTAAGGCTCTTAAACAGAGGAGTGACAAGACCTAAGCAGTAATGGATAAAGGGGGTGGTAGGAGGCAAGCATTAGGTAGTTCAAGTTAATTCAAGTTTATTGAGTTGCAGGTACTATGAATACTAATGATGCACGTTCCTTGCCCTTAAGGTATTATATTCCAAAGAAGAAAGAAATTTTAATAACTAATTTTAATTCAGAGGAGTAAGGGTATATAGGGACATTAGAAATGATTACCTAGACCTCTAGAGGGTTGGACAGAAAAGTAATGAGTAAAATTCTTTGGAAGAGAGAAGTCTTAAAGGACAAATAAGAAGTGAGGCAAACAGATCTAAGGCACAGATGAATGAAACAGCAGTTGTATGGGGGAAACTACCCCACATACCACATAGTACTAGCATGTAAAGAATGAAATTGCAAGGCACAAAATGAGGCTAAAGAGGCAGGCAGGGATGAGGTCATGGAAGCTAAAGTGCATGACATGCTAACGAAGTTATACTTTTAGGAATTCAACAAAAGTTTACTAAAGCTATTGTGTCATGGAATCTTTTTTTTTTTTTTTTTTTTGAGACAGAGTCTCACTTTGTTGCCCAGGCTAGAGTGAGTGCCATGTCGTCAGCCTAGCTCACAGCAACCTCAAACTCCTGGACTCAAGCCATCCTGCTGCCTCAGCCTCCCAAGTAGCTGGGATTATAGGCATGCACCACCATGCCCGGCTAATTTTTTCTATATATATATTAGTTGGCCAATTAATTTGTTTCTATTTATAGTAGAAAAGGGGTCTCATTCTTGCTCAGGCTGGTTTCGAACTCCTGACCTCAAGCAATCCACCCGCCTCAGCCTCCCAGAGTGCTAGGATTATAGGCATGGACCACCGAGCCCAGCCTGTGCCATGGAATCTTTAAGGAACTAAGTAGATGGGTTTCAGGGGAATCTAGAACAACTTCAGGTGCAAAAATGAGGAATATATGCCTTTTTCTAAGGAAATCAGATTCTAAAATGGGTTCAAATTTAAAAATGTGTCAAGTACTGCTGCCATTGATGACATGGAACCACTCAATGTTTTTGTAAATGCAGGAGAATGACATGTTAGGATATGCATTTTGTTTTAATTATTTATTTTTGAAGAAGAGATGGGGTCTCCCTGTATTGGCCAGGTTGGAATGCAATGGCTGTGCACAGGTACAATCATAGCTTACTGTAGCCTCAAACTCCTGGCCTCAGGTAATCCTCCCATCTTAGCCTCCTGAGGAGCTGAAACTACAGGTATGTAATACCATGCCTTGCATTATATTAATAAGAAGGCAAAGTTTTTATAGCTTATGAAGTATATGGGCCTGTTTTTCCTATACAAAATGACTTATATTTGTATAATTTACAAAGCAATTTTACATTTAGTCTATTTAATTTTATTTACATAAATAAATATTTTATTTATTGTTTTTTACTTTGACATTACATTCTAAAGGGGCTTGAGGTACTTTATATGTTTCAAAAGAATTCAGAGTAAAGAGAAAATAAATATAAAACCAGAAAGAAAAATAATATACAACAAAGTATATTATTCAGAGTTCTTCAGAGTTGCTGTCTTCTTATTTGATCATTTCTTAGTAATTAAACTTAATTTTCCTAACCCTCTTTTTCAGCAGAAGGATTTTTTTCATTGTAACTTATTCTTTTTTTTTTTTTTTTTTGAGACAGAGTCTCGCTTTGTTGCCCAGGCTAGAGTGAGTGCCGTGGCGTCAGCCTAGCTCACAGCAACCTCAAACTCCTGGGCTCGAGCGATCCTTCTGCCTCAGCCTCCCGAGTAGCTGGGACTACAGGCATGCGCCACCATGCCCGGCTAATTTATATATATATATCAGTTGGCCAATTAATTTCTTTCTATTTATAGTAGAGACGGGGTCTCGCTCTTGCTCAGGCTGGTTTTGAACTCCTGACCTTGAGCAATCCGCCCGCCTCGGCCTCCCAAGAGCTAGGATTACAGGCGTGAGCCACCGCGCCCGGCCGTAACTTATTCTTTTATCACACTATATGGTATTATATAGTATTATATACAGCATTGTAGTTGTTCATGTGTTTCTCTCTTATGCTATATCAGAGTTTCTTGAGAGTAGGAATGGTACTTATTCCATTGGTATCATTAGTGCCTAATACTAAGTGTTTAATAAAATAAGAAGTGTCCCTAACATTGTTATCCTCACTATTCTAACTAGTTTGACTTATAATAGCTAAATGTTGCTATGCAAACTAGAAAGTCAAGCAAAATCAGCAACATTGTTTTATGCATATATACTACTTATTATGTATAATTTTATGTATTAGAAGTTAATAGCTTCTGGATAAGGATCTACAGGTCTACAAGATTGTTAATTCCTTGTGAGCAGGGGCCCAGTCTTACTATTTTATTCTTGGTCCTCCTGGCAAATTACTCAAATATTTGAATGAGTGTAGCAATCTACCTTTCTTTATTAGTGATGATACAACCACCTTATATTTGTATAGTTTACAAAGTGATTTTACATTTATTCTCCGTTTTTTATTTTTTTAATTTTGACCTTAAGATTCTAAAGGGGCTTGAAGTAGTTTATGTTTCGAAAGAATTCAGGGTGAGGAAAAAATAAATACAAAATTAGAAAGAAAACTAATATACTACAACACGTGTTGAAATTCAAATAATTACTAATGGTGGACTATAAAATTGGCTCTAGTCTTCCATAAGCAAAGTCTGGCATATAGCAGTTAGCTCAGAAATTGGGTAAATTAACAAATGAATGAAGAGCAGTGAAAAAGAAACAAAGTTTCCCTTGGTCATTAGGTATGAAAGAAATTTCTTTAATTTATTTTTGCAAAAGGGGAACTAAGTGAAGATATTCCTATAAAAACATAAGTTTCTTGTTTTATCTTTGTATAACCCTTTTGGATAACATACTCACTCCTTGTTTTCAGAAGAGACTGAGGTTAAGTGACTATACAAGAGCACACTGCTATTATAATATATGGCTGAACCAAGACTTGAAGCCAGGTCTTGGAACCTTGAGTCCAATGTTGTTTCAGTGACATTCCAGCTATTTCCTAGCTCCATGGGAAATACATGGTTTTATGACAAGTGTTTTCACCATTAGGCTTTTTATTCGGACTTCTGAGTTCTAAGACTATGTTTGGATAAATGAGTTCTATCGTGTCCTGCCCATAACAAGCTTATTGACTTATTGACTAGTCTAATACTTGATTTTAGTTACAATATTGCCTATATTTATTCTGTATACTCAGGAAGAGTATATCTGACCACATGATCAGGTAAGTCTTATGCATACATAATAATAAATATATCTGTACCATAAAGTTAAATCCAAAAACATGTATAAATATTTTCTGTATCAGTTTTTACCATGACATTATTTTTAAAAGCAAAAACCTAAAGAGCTTAAATATTCAACAGTACAGAATAGTAAAATAATTTATGATACATCCGTCAATAACAAATTATGTAGTAATATAGCATTTAAAAAGAAGTAGGGCATAACAAAATACGATGTTAAGGATATAAAACTTTATGTAAAATACCCTAATTGTTAAAAATACACTTATACATTAAAAAATCTGACAGACTACAATAAGACAGTAATATCAGTTAACTTCGTATTTCAGGGATTATAGATGTTTTTGTTCTTTATACATTTCTAAATTTTCTACACTATTTTACAATTGGAAAGGTTATAAAATTTTATTTTTTTAAAAGTTTAAATGCAGTACAATCCAAAAAATATGTATTGGGATTTAATTAACTGAATTTCAGTGTAAATTAATCAAAATGTTATAATTAATATACCTATTTAGAATTTTAATTTTCACCCTTATATTTGAGTACATCTATTGCTTTTATGCAGAAAAAGGAAAATGTATAGTAAACCTTTAACTCAGAAGTTAACTTAAAGACTATAGTAAATATACTTTTAAATATACTGAAGCTATTAATAAAAAAACTGTCAAATATTTAACATTTGATTACTGTTAAAGACTCAAATATTTTAGAAATATTTATTTATAACTGATATAATTACAGATATTCTCATCAACATATTAAGGTAGGTTCTCTTAACCATCTCTATGCTTCTAATTTTTTAGCTTGCTTCTTTTCTTTTCTTTTCTTTTCTTTTCTTTTCTTTTCTTTTCTTTTCTTTTCTTTTCTCTTTCTTCTGCTCTCTCTCTCTCTCCCTCTCTCCCTTTCTTTTTTCTTTCTTTTTGAGACAGGGTCTTGCTCTGTCACCCACGCTAGAGTGTAGTGGCTTCATCATTGCTCACTGCAACCTCAAACTCCTGGGTTCAAGCAATTTTCCTGCCTCAGGCTCCTTAGTAGCAGCTGGGACTACAGGTGCTTGCCACCATGCCCAGTTAATTTTTCTATTTTTTGTAGAGACAGGGTGTTGCTCTTGCTCAGGCTGGTCCCACACTCCTGGCCTCAAGCACTCCTACCCCCTCAGCCTCCCAGAGTGCTAAGATTATAGCCATGTGCCACCGTGCCCTGCCCTATTTCTATTATTATACAGTTGGCCCTGTGCATCCAAGGGTTTTGCATCTGTGGATTTAACCAACCAATGGCAGATTGAAACTCACTGATAGGAAGAGTTGGCTGTATTAGGCCATTTTTTATAAAGGACTTTTGTAACTGCAGATTTTGGTATGGGAGTTGGGGGTGTCCTGGAACCAATCCCCCATGGAGGGGGATCCAATCCCCCATTGGCCCCTCTATATCCATAGAGGGTCAACTGAGTATGCCATGGAAGAACAATATATATGTTTCACACAGTTCTCAGACAATATTTAGTCTAAACTCTTATTTGTTGGGAAAAAAATTACAAATTACCCAGGAAATATGTATAAATGTCTTTATTGGGCAGTTTGCCTATCTGCCTGAAATAAATAAAAAACATTTATTTTCAAATATTAGTTTCTGCTATTTTCAGATGAATTCTCACAATAAGCTCAAAACTAATAATAATCTACTATATTTCAATATCATAGTCACACCATAGATTGACATCAGTTTGACTAATAAACAAGTAAAAATCCTTAGGTAAATAAGTTTTAAAACAGAACCTCAGTGTGTCTATCTATATCTATCTATATAAATACAGCTTTTAAAAAATCCAATTTAAAAATTTGTTGAGTTCCTCTCTAAGGGATTTAAATAAAATATATAACTATTCTCCTAAACTCACTCATTCAACAAATAAGTTGATATCTCTTCAGTCACAGGTTCACATTAGTTTTTCACTAGTTCAAAACACTGCTAGTTCAAACACAAACTGTCCCCAACATTCAATATGAACTCCTAATGCAATCACTCAGTTCTGTAGAATGCACCATTAAGTCGATCTCTCTCACCTGAATATAAGTAAGGGGATTTTTATGACACTTTTTTGGCACCCTAGAGACATCACAAACAGATCTCTCTCCTGGAAATAAATGTTATGATTATGACACTTCTTGGTATCCCAGAAACATTGTATCTGTGATGCTAACTTTTGTCTCAATGCCATATAGCCCGATATTTACATAGAGATTGAAAAGGAGAAATAGCACCTTTGTTCCCCCTTAAATGTGAAATAAAGCAGCAGCTACACATACTCACACACATCAATGGCTCTTCAGTCAATCTCCCCAAGTACTTCTTTTGTTGTTGATCATTTCCAGCAATAATAACAGGCATTTGCTACCAAAGAAAATTGACATTAAAAACGCAAGTCATTTTTATTAGATATATAATACAGAGGTACTATAATTCAAAATAAAAGAAGAACTATTTTATACCCAAGAGCTAAGTACAAAGAACTTTAAGTTAGAGAACTAAAACCATAAGGAAATAGATCTGTTAATCTAAGTATTTTCATGAAATTAAGTTATATGTAGGACTTGTTGATAATATATGTGAAAATCTACCCATGGTACAATGCACAAATAAGGAATTAAATTTAGGAAACATGACATAGTATACAATCAGGCCTCCTAAGAAATTTCAGTACTGCCAGTGGTGGCAGTAAGCTATCCTGATCTTGCTCCTGAATGCTGGATTTAGGCCTTGCCCTTACCTAGGAATTGCCACTGAATCTGTGGCCAAAGTGTTCAGTTTCCTCACAAGGACATTTAAAATTCCAAGTATGGGCCATAGTGACAAAGCCTTGGAATCAGAACTCCAGACATCACTGCTAAATCTTCTGCTCCTTTTTAAGGAAAACTATTTCACAACCTAACCTAGTAGTAACTAACTCATTAACAGCTCAGGAAATTTATGTTCTAAGTAACTTACCCCCAAAGAATTTGCTTCAATAGCAGTCTGAACCCCGGTACATCCATAAGCCAATTCTTCAGTAATTAAACAAGCATCAAAAGTTCCAAGTTCAAGACCTCCTACAATATCAAAATGTTTTAAGAGCACGTTATAATATGTAGTGCATCTTGATAGAAATAAAGGTAAACTATTTCAATTATTTCTAATACAACCCAATTTGTTTTAAAAGCAAATTTGCAAAAATAACATGTGTAAGTGTTGAGACTGGCATAGTAACAAATTATACTTGTCTAAAATAGGTTTTAAAAATTTGAAAAAATTCTCTATTTGTTATTTGAGCCTACATTCCTGTTCCAACTTGATTTTGGAAAAACTCGATTCAACTCTGCTAAAACTGGATCTGAGGAAATGAGTGACATTTCACAAAAAGTCTCAATAAAATATAAAATAGAGGGTAGGATTAAAATACAACAAATTGGCTGGTTGCAGTGGCTCATGCCCGTAATCCTAGCACTCTGGGAGACTGAGGCGGGAAGACTGCTTGAGGTCAGTTCGAAACCAGCCTGAGCAAGAACGAGACCCCCGTCTCTACTATAAATAGAAAGAAATTAATTGGCCAACTAATATATAGAGAGAAAAAATTAGCCAGGCATGGTGGTGCATGCCTGTAGTCCCAGCTACTTGGGAGGCTGAGGCAGCAGGATTGCTTGAGCCCAGGAGTTTGAGGTTGCTGTGAGCTAGGCTGAAGACACGGCACTCACTCTAGCCTGGGCAACAAAGCAAGACGCTGTCTCAAAAAAAAAAAAAGAAAAATACAAGAAATTGACCAACTCTAGAGAGAGAAGTTATCAAAGTTTAAAATCAAGTTAAGGTTGAAACCAGTTAGAAGAAGGAAAAATGTAAGTGTAGAGTATAGTGTTTCTAAAAACAGGCAAATACTGTAGCCTGACAAGAGAGATAAAACTAGAAAGCCATTTAATGGCAACAAATATTTGAAAAAATGACCAAGTGGAATTTCACAATTTTACTTGTTCATATGCATTCTAGGATTAAAAACGTGAAGAAAGCTTACCACAACTCTCTGGAATGTGTGTATTCATTAAACCAAGTTCCCAAGCTCTTTTAATTAGGGGGACAGGATACTAAAAGAAAAAGGAAAAACCCAGTTATATTTAAAATATAGATGGTTTGATTACATAATCTTTTTTTAAAAAGTAAAAGTCTTTTCTCTCTTTAAAATATATATACCTACTTCACCAGTTTTATCATATTCTGCAGCAACCGGTATTATTTCCTCTCTGGCAAATTTACGAGCAGTAGCTTGAAATTCTTTCTGTTGTTCAGTTAACTCTAAGGGAAAGTTATTTAGAAAATATTAAAATAGGACAATGAGTTGAAGAAAAAAGTGCTATGCAGTAATATGTGGAAGTATACATTAATAATGGGGACTTTAATTCTTGATCATCCAGTCCCAGGATTTCGAACTTCATCTAACAGTACCAAAACTGCAGTTCAGATATATTATGGATAAAACAAGCTTTAGCTTATTAGCAGGCACCTAGCATTATGTGTCTAATAAGTGTTTTAAGTAGTATTTGTTGCATTAAATTTTTTAAGTTGAAGACTATTCATATATATCAGTCAAAGACTACAATGCATTTTCTGACTAATCAAGGTTTTACTATAAAATATGAATAAATCTATGTCAATAGAAATGTTGAAAGAAGATTTTTAGCTTTTACAAATGAGTAGTAGATTTAAACTTGTATAGCTCGAGTTTTTCTTTTTCAGTTGGTAAGGTAAAAAGTATTTTTTAAAACTTATTACTAGTTCTTAAGCTGATTTATCAAATATTTACAAACACCAAGGTGAAACTAATATATAAGCCATGTCCCTAATCTCAAGAATCTATCTAAGGAGGTGAGACACACTCGGTGACCATAAAGCAATAAAACTTCGAGGTGTCATATATCATGGTCATAATTTAAACTTTACTTGTCCTTTAAACTCAGACCAATTTATAAATTAGCACAAAGCAACTGGTAAAAGTAGTTTCTTCAAAGATAATAACTACATAAAACCCTGCTGTAATGCTATTAATTGGTGTCTAAACAATTCATTTACATAAAATAAGGGTTGGCTGTTACAAAATTAGTGACATGAATATGGTGGCTTGCAGAAGACAGGAGCTGATCACTAATTGCATTTTTTCAAATCCATGCTGTTCTAGTATTTTAATGTAGTTGCATCCAACATCAAAGAATATGGGCTGAGCACAGTAGCTCATGTCTGTAATTCCAGCTACTTGGGAAGCTGAGGTGGGAGGACTGCTTGAGGAGATTGAGGCTGCAGTGAGCTATGACTGCACCATTACACTCCAGCCTGGGTGACACAGTGTGATCCCCATCTTAAAAAAAAAATAGGTAAAATTTAAAAAAGGTATAGGCTATTTCAAGCAAGAAGAATGAGAGCAAAAGCACAGAGATAAGAATGTGCAAGAACATGTAAGACTATAATAATCATTTGTACAGGGAAACGACAGCCCTGTGATCTTACAACAAATTAGCAGAAGTATACTTAGAGTTTCAGTCCAGTGTTTTTACATCACAACTTTACTTCTAAAATTGGGGCCAGTCCATATAAACGTTGTGGTGGATAAAGGGAAGACACAGATCTATTATGTCATTATTTATTGAGAAATTATATTGATCTAATCAGTATGTGCTAGGGACATTACATACAGCATATAATTTCATCTTTAAAGAAATCTTGTTATAGATATTATCCTCATTTTATAAAGAACCAGATTGCAACTGGTCATAGGTGTAATCTAATCCTTATTCGAGTTTTATAATCTCCCTGTCAAACACTTATTATCTAATCTCATCCTCTGTCACTCAACAAACCACAATTTTTCCTGCTAGTCTCTTACTACTGAGTATGAGTTTGCCTGTGACAAGCTAAAACTAGATACCAAATCAATACTAGTATCTGAGAGAGTAAGAAGATCCACTGTCCCTAATTGCTATCCTCACACTGCTTGGAATTTTTCATTTAATTCTGGTAAAAAACAAAATCAAAACAACAGTTAAAAAAAATAAAACAAAAACCAAAAATGGTAACTCTAGAGAGTTTTGAGATTGTCATTTGTACTTGGGTGTGAGTTAATTATCTCAGCTGTCTTTTAAATATTTTCTCAGATCAGGTGAACTGAATAAACAGGTTTTTAACTAGAGGACAGGTAAAAATTTTGAAGCAAGAAGCACTTTAGGAGGCAAGAATACCAAAGATAGAGATTGTTATTTTTATTTTTTTCCAGGGGTTTTCATTTTATAGAGTAAAGAGGAAGAAAATCTTATTTCTTCTCCCTCCACTATCACATGGCTCCCTAGTCCCAGGATTGAGAACTTCATCTAACAGTACCAAAACTGCAGTTCAGATATATTATGGATAAAACTATTAGCAGGCACCTAGCATTGTGTGTCTAATAAGTGTTTTAAGTAGTATTTGTTGCATTAAATTTTTTAAGTTGAAGTCTATTCATATATATCAGTAAATTATCATTTATTTTGGGCTACACACTTAGGAAGGGAAGGAAAATAAATGTATGTATGCTGCTAACAAAGATCTAATGTATAGGGTAATATGCTGAAGAAGAAAACAAGACCAGGAAAATGGGCATGACTAACCATCTGTGGATGGTGACTGGTTCTACTCATTGACAGACATTATTAAGTTTGTTTACAAATATATTCCAAACAAATACATATAGAGAGCTTCATATGTACAACAAATGTAAATTTAAAGTCAAAAGACACAACGTAACACATACCAAAACTAAATCCTAATCCTGGCTGACGCTTTGGGGCAGCTTTTGTATGTTGTGATCTCCAGCCAAAACAAGAAATACTTCTCAGGACCTGTAAAGAACACTTTTATTAAAATAAATTTGATAAATTAAACATTAGTCAAATAAATGGATACTAACAATTATAAGTGAACACAACAACTTGTTTGACCATATTCAAGAGCATAGTTTTTCAAGTCATCATTACTTGAATGCCTTCAAATATAATTTAACTTAAATAAGTCAATTACCAGTTATTTAATCACCTATGATAGATGAGAATTTTTTTTTAAAAAAAGTAATGACATTAAATCAGTGGTATTTTGCACTGCTGAAGTAGAGATTTCCAAGACAAACAGCCAGGGGTACAAGACACTTAGGCCCATTATTTTGGAAATCTCACCTACAAGCTGCTCGGGCATTGATGATTGGAGAGCCAGGGTGGAGGTAACAATAGGATGTAATTGTATGTTTTTAAGAGTAGCCCAATCCACCAACTTTGATACCTTTCCCTGTGGGTCTCCCACATGTGCCCCTGGGAACCTTCCCCTTAGAGATCCTATTTTCTAAGGTACCTCACTTAATCTAACAAAACAAACTGGCATAAAACCATATTCTACATTTTCTGCTGTTGTCTATAAGCATTCTTACAATGCAAACTATGGCAGTCACTATTTTTGTAAATAAAATTTTACTGGAACACAGCCACACTATAGTATTTCTGCTTTCACAACAGATCTTAGTTGCCGCAGAGACTATAATGGTCCACAAAGCCAAACTATGTACTATTTATCCCTTTAAAAAAAATTTGCCAACCCTGTTCTAAACTACTAAAATATACCTGTCTTAATATCTGAAATATACTCACATTTCTTCAAAAGGATATATAAAAACAGTATCATCAGAACATATTGTTGTTCTTTTGCAACCCATTTTTATATTCATGACATTTTAAAGGACACAAAAGTAACCACTTGCATTTACTGAAGTTACCAAACTGGAAACCACAGTGCTCCTCCCAAGTAAAGTTTGAGGACAGCTAAAAGTACACAGTTTACACTTTAAAGAATTTTTATGGAACTATCTCAAGGCAATTTTAATAAGCTTAGATACTAATAGAAATGAGAAGCTGAATATACTAAAGCTTCTAGAACCTAACTTATGTTTTTCAAAATCTGTAAAAACACTACTTTGTAGCTGACAATTTCGACTTATAAAGAGATTTACCGACATTTAAGGTGACAACATAATTAGAGTGTTAAATATTGTAATTTAAATAGCCCTCTCAAAACAACTCATACTACAATTTTGAAAAGACAATTACAGAGTATGCAAACTCACATTTTCTTTAATTAATTTTCATTAATTTTATTTTAGACGTGAAACATGGTTTCTCTGGTCCTCATTTTCCAGTTGTCATAGACCAAACCTATTTTTTTTTTTTGAGACATTCTCACTCTTTTTCTGGGCTAAAGTGCTGTGTTATCAGCCTAGCTCACAGCAACCTCAAACTCCTGGGCTGAAGTGATCCTCCTGCCTCAGCCCCTGGAGTAGCTGGGACTACAGCCATGCACCACCATGGCTGGTTAATTTATATATATGTATTTTTAGTTGTCCAGCTAATTTCTTTCTATTTTTTTAGTAGAGACAGGGCCTCGCTCTTGCTCAGGCTGGTCTCAAACTTCTGAGCTCAAATGATCAGCCCGCCTCAGCCTCCCAGAGGGTGAGCCACCATGTCCCGCCAAACCTGTTCTTGCTTACAGTCATGTTATTCACTGAATCCCAGGTCAAGCCTAGGATTAAAGCACTATTTTTATTCCTATTTTGCAAATGAAGAAACTGAGGCTCAGACAGGTCAAGTAAAATTAGCCAAGGTCACTCTGCTCTTAGTGCAACCAGGAAATCTAACATTTACTATCACAAGTCCATGCTATCAAACCACCTAGCTATATTGCTCTTTCAATTTAGTCTCTTTGGTTTCCACAACAAAGATACTCCACAAAAATCAGACCAAAAAATGTGACTCTATTAAATCAGAACTCACAAAACTGGTAAAATAATCTGCTGAAAGACTTTAAATAGGGAATTATTTCGTGGGTTTAAAATAATTTAAAAATAGTTTACCTATGATTTCAGGAAAACATGTTATATAAAACAAAGTACACTGTTCACTGCTACAGCCAAGAAACAATGCCCATCAACCTGTTAATTACGTAATAATGTTAGCCATTTAATTAGAGAGGTGGCTTAGAAATGAATACAGAAAGCACAGGATTTGGAGTTAGAAATGTTGAATTCAGTCTAGGTTCTGCAACTACTTTTGTGACCTAGGACAGGTTACAAACTTCTTATAGCTACTATTCAAAACTGGAAAATGGGGCTAATTTCAATGGGTATTTCGGGGTGATTAAAATATTGTTTTGAAAGCCTAATGCTATCCACATATTGGTATTATTACTTTAGGCTCTCTGCCCAGAACAATGGAATTCCAAATAGCCAAAAGACAGCAAATTTAATCAAGCATCAGCATCAGTTCTGCAACAGTAGCGCACTACAATTAAACACTTTTGCGAATTTCTTAGAAATATGAGTCGTCGTTTATGGGAGTGTAAAAGGAGAGATAAAGGGATATAAATTTTATGAATCAGCGTTTTCTAGATCCTTCCTTGGGGAGATTCAGAAAACTCTTGTCTTTCCTCATGGGGTCAGCGTTAAAATTTTTTAATTGTTAAATTCCCCAATTTTGCATTCAGCGCCCATTAACTTGTATAGCAACAGTAACAAAGGGCAGCAATCCATTACAATGATCCTAAATTCTAAAACTGCAGTGTTTTGGCCAAAGACATAACTATAATTCAATTTTAAGTGACCAGTAAATGGCAGTCGTATGTGAACATTCAAGAATATTTAGATACCAAAATGCACCTAGCGACAAAAATACTTAGAATCTGTAAGATACTAGAATATATAGACAAGCTTCATGGAAAGTTCTGAAGTAGGCTTTTCTTGTTCTCTTTAATCGTACGCGCAAGGAAGCGATCTCCTCCATATTACAAAGCCAAAGACATATTAAACATATCAAGTATCCCAAGGAGCTGCTGCTGTTTTTTCCTTTTTCTGGTGGTTCTGAGACACCTATTCAGAGACAGATTTACGTAGGGAGAGTGGGATTCCTGGAGGAAATATTTGGAGAGTTTCCGGGCCAGAGAAAGAAAAAGGATATTCTGATCGCAGGACGCTGCCCCTACACGGGTCCCGTGGCGAGGAGGGCGGTAGGAGCGAAAGCAAGCAGTGTGTCTGAAGTCCCGGACGGCGTCCAGGAGAGCAGAAAGGAGGGCTCTGGCGCCCTGAGGCAGGCTCCTTCCTCAGCACAGCTTCCTCCCCTCCGGGATGCACCCGTTTCGGCCCATGCCCCCCTGCCCAAAGAACGCAACCTCCGTGCCCCCTCCCCACCGCAGTCCTGGTCTCCTCTCACCCCGCAGCTCCGCCTCAGCCCCGCTGCCATGCTGGCTCCCGACGCGGCCACTGGGACTCTGAAGCCCTGCAGAGCGCGTAGACCAGCAGCCTCCGCCCGCCGGGCGCACTAGGGCCCGGAGGAGGGGGCGGGGCCCGGAGGAGGGGCGGGGCCCGGAGGAGGGGCGGGGCCCGGAGGAGGGGCGGGGCAGCCGAGGGCGAGGGAGGATGGGAGGGGGTCCCGTGCGGCTCATCCTGACGTGCGCTCCCTGACGCCAGCCTGCGCCGTGCTGGCGTCCTTGGGAAAGGTTTCGCCCCGCTGCCGGAAGGTTCCGGGAAAAGCTTGTTTGCCTTCTGGTCCTCTGAGTTCAAACTCCGCCCGGTCTCCGGGAGACGCGGAGGCTGAGAGCGGTGCTGAGAGGCGGAGAGGAAGCCCGGGGGAGCGCATCGCTCCGCGGGCGCTGGGGGCGGGGGATGGCGCGGAGCAGGACGGGAATCTGGACCGAAGGGTGCGGGGGCCAGGGGGAGGAACGACCTCTGCGGTCGGCCTTGACCTTTACCCGGGAAACGAGTGAAACCCAAATCCTTTCAACTTTGAGGACTCGAAGTATATTTTCCTCTCAAACGGTGGCCCTAAAGCGGAACGTTGTTTGGGTTTTGTAAAATTCAAACGGGATTTAATACCTTAGGTAAATTCGGCCTTTCAGAATATTTCCTAGGCGATTGGCTGCTGCCAAGTGCGCGGATGTGGAGAGTGTTTTTGGAATTGCGGGTGCAGGATGAGCCTGTCTGAAGCTACTGGCTCAGGGAATGGATGTTGGGAGTGAGTGTCTGCCTGATGTTCTACTTGAAGTCTCTCTTTTAATTAGACCCTGAGATCTGAGATGGTGGCTGGGTTGTTCTAAAGCCGGGGAGTTTGAAAAGCTGTCCAGGTTTAGATACCTCGAGGTAAGACCTAATGAAAACCCAAAGGCAGACGTATAAAGGTTTCCCATGTTTCTCAGGACTTTTTCTCTTTCATTGCTGCTATCCTCGTTTAGGTCTTGGTCACCTCACCCCTAAATCTTGGTACAAACTTAACATTTTCTTTTGCCTAGTAAGGCCACCCATAAGCTGATTCTAATTGAGCTGTTTACTTTCTATATCTTACTGTACTCCCCTACTTTGTCCACAGAATTTATAGTGGATTGTTCCAGACTGGGTACAGAGCAGAAAGTTAAGTGCTAAGTTCAAAGTTGAAAGTACCAGGGAAATTTTGAAAAGGGAGAAAAAGCTGAGTTTATTCTGAGATAGGCAAGAAAGCCTTCAGAGAGATAAGTAAAACACAAAATGGACTCCTAAAGATGGGTAGGAATTGACTGCGCATGTCTTTATTCCAGTTTCTTATACTGAACATTTTAAACAAAAAATGAACAAAAAGTACACCATCACCTGTACACCTATCACCTAGATTCAAACATTTTTTCTGTATTTGTTTTATTTATATATTTGTGTGTGTACGCATATGTATGTGCGTGTTGTTTTTGTCAGACTGGTAAGTTGTAGACTTACACTAGAGACACTAACAGAGGTACAGGTCTGAAAAAGGGCAAGGAAATGTTTTACAAGTTGTCTCTTTAAAACCTCCACCCTTGCCTGGCATGGTGACTCACATCTGTAATCCTAGCACTCGGGGAGGCCGAGGCAGGAGAATTGCTCAAGCTCAGTAGTTTGAAACCAGCCTGAGCAAGAGCGATACCGGTCTCTACTAAAAGTAGAAAGAAATTAATTGGCCAACCAAAAATTTATAGAAAAAATTAGTCGGGCATGGTAGCGCATGCCTGTAGTCCTAGCTACTTGGGAGGCTGAGGCAGTAGGATTCCTGGAGCCAGAGTTTGAGGTTGCTGTCAGCCAGGCTGATGCCACGACACTCTAGCCCGGGCAACAGGCTCTGTCTCAAAAAAAAAAAAAATGTTTTCTAGTATCTTAAACCACAGAATTATTCAGACAAAGGTCAAATTGTTTGGACGGGATGATGAGATCATAAGGTCCAAGAAAACCTCCAATTGTATAACACCCTAAAGGCACAACATGTGACCCTGGTCACGTAGACCTAAGTCCAACTGCCGAAACCCCTCCCCTTTTAAAAAGCCTTGTATTTCTACCTGAAGATAGGATAGGTAGTCTTTTGAGACTCTAGTCTACTATCCTCCTCATTTGCTGGCAAATTAATAAACAGCTCTTTCTTTTTCCTCAAAGCACTTGTCCTCATTCTTTGTTTTCACTGATTCAGCCATGGTGACAAGTACTGAACTTTTGGTAGCAACAATTCTCCTCTGAATACTTTAGCTGTGTATATTCTGTAAGGACATTGTTCCACATAACCAGAAAAACTATCACACCTATGAAAATGAACAGTTATTCTCTACTATCATTTAATATTCAGTCAATATGTAGATTTCTCCAGTTGTCTCCAAAATGCCTGTTTTGTTTGCCTATGTAGTTTGTTTTTGAACCAGGATCCTATGAATGATTTCCCATTGCAGTTGAGTTTTAACTCTCTTTAATCTAAAATTTTTTAATCTAATTCATTTTCTCCAACAATACTGATTTTTTTTTTTTAAGAGACCAAGGCAGTTGTCCTGAAGAATGACTTAATTCTGGGATGCCTGATCGTGCTATAAATTGCAGTTGCTAGAGGTTTGAGGAGTTCAGACTAAATATATATGGCAAGGATACTTCATAGGTCATGCTATATAATTTATATTGTATGACATTAGTGGTATTTAATGTCAGGTTATTCCACTGTTAGTGATAAGTTTGATTATTTGATTAAGATGGTGACAGACTTTTTTCTTATAGTAAAAGTGTATTTTTCCCTTTGCAATTATGAACTAATCTATAGGGTAATATTTAGTATTACGCCAAACAATCTTTTACCTAGATTTTGCCTACTGATAGAAATGGAATCCTCTATCAACAAATACCTTTTTATTAATTGGGTAGTGTTCTACAAAACTTTTTACATTTTTAGGTGAAATAATTCAAACATCTCTCCAGTGTTTCTTCTGCCTAACCCATGGGAATATGATATAAATGACATCTTTAGTTCTTTAGGTTAGTGATTCTTAACAGGAGTCCCTGAGTAAACTTCAGGAGGGCCTGAGAATCCTTTGGAGTTAAAATGCAAAATTTTATATGTATGTATATATTCCTGAGAAGATCCTCACATAGGTAGGAAAGTAAGAGTATAGGTTCATATACGCATAGTCTGGTAGATGTGATAGACGTAGTAGTTGGAGGTTTTCTTCTGTCACTATTTCTCAATGAAATAGGAAATAAGGTTATTAGCAGGGAGTAAGGAAATGTTGGATATTTGAGAAAAGAGTGTAAAATTATTATGTAAATATAGACTCCTATTTCCTTATACTTTGGAAGTGAGGGGTGAGGGACAACACAGAGGTGGTAGGTTCAATGCATTGGCATGCCTAATGAGTTTGAAAAGCTAATAGAACAGGAATATTGGAGAGAATGAGCTAAAAAGAAAGAGGGCAGTGGTCAGGTGGAGGAGGTATAGTTATAGTAAAGACAAGGTCAGGGGTATCATCATGGAGTGAGTAGTTGAAGTAGAGAACAGGATTATTATAGGATAGGAAGTCAGAAATTTGAGAGCCCAGGTTATTGGAAGGATCATCTTTGCGAATATTGAGATTATTAAGAATTATGACAGTAGTTTGAGGGAAAATGACTTTTAGCCAAGTGTAAAACTCTTGGTAATCTCCATATTTTTTTTCTCTTAGATAAATGGAAAAAATGATGATAGATTTGTAATGATAAATCTAATAAGTTTGGTGCAAAATAACAGCATTAACCTTTTTGGTACCTGGTTTTCTTCTTTTCCATTCCTTTTTAAAATACTCTTTTTCTGTCTTCTCTTGCGATAGTAATAGAACTGGCCGTACTACATTACATTATATTATTATGAAACATTATTTCATAGGAAAGGAATTTATTATTTATATCCCCACCAAGCCTGTGATGTTACTTAAGCCTTTGTCAGCCTTGCCAATGAAGTGCAGTTTCACATTCAGTGACATTTCTGTTTGTAGAGCAAAGGTTGTACCTAAAAATTAATCCCACTTTAAGCACTAGATGTAGCTATTTGGCTTAGATCCCAAGAACTAATCCTTAGTGAGATTTTCTCAAAGACTTTTCTCTTACAAGTGAATGATTAATCTGTATATTCATTTTTAGATGGGCCTCATGAGGTATGATCACCTTGGAACCACACATGGACTTAACTTCATAGGCTCAGAAATTTGAAATATCAATTTTTTCAAATAAGGTCAGAGAGTAAACTCAGATTCTAGTTTGGACCACAATAGGTGAAGGAAGTGAGATTCATCAAAGGGTAAAACAAGCTTTACTGTCCAGTGTACATTCCTCAAGCCAGAACACAGAGAGAAACAAGTTAGGGGCAAAAGTAGGATTTCCTGGGTCCTGGGAACCAATGGAAGGATAAAGAGAATTCATATATGTTTAGATTAGACACATCATGCTTAATGAATGCTACCTTCACATGCAAAGGTCCTTCAATAGAGTATAATCCAGAGCCAGAATGAGAGAACTATACCTGGAGAGATTTTAAAAGAAACAAAAAATATTTCAGACCAAGCAGCAATACTAATGGAATTCTTATGTAGGCCAGAAGTCAGAGTAACATAATCATATAAGAGGCCCACACACTATGTGTAGGCACCTGATTCATGCCCCAATTTCAGCATGAAGTTAGTCTACTAGAAATGTCAAGCACTGGTTGCTGTCCTCACATCTGCTTCTATGGGAATTTGCCCTGCCTAGAGTCTGTGCTCCCAAAGCAGCTTTGTGTCCTGAAGTATGTATGAACTTGCTACTTCTTGCCTACAGCTGTTTGTGTCAAGGGATGGGTAGTCTGACCTAAGGAAAGTTGTTTCATGAGCTAGTCAGCATTTTTACCAATGGCTTGGCACACACACAAAAAATGAATTTAGCCAATCAGATGGCCTGTCTTGGGAATTTGAGTAAAAGAAGCAGAGACATTGGCGATGGGCAACTGAAAGCCCACCAATAGAGAGTTTGTGATAGTTATGTGCAAGCTAAAGTTATAGAGGAACAGAAGCTGTGA